ATAGATAGATAGATAGATAGATAGATAGATAGATAGATAGATAGATAATCCAATCACTGTTACTGCTTATTTCTGTAATTTCTGTTGAAAGACCTTTTTTTGTAATCAACCTGACCACTTTTTGTCCTTTTAGTAGCAGAATAGCAGGATGTCTTGGACCAGTTGTTCTGACCCGTCAGGATAAAAACACACATGAATGAGTCGTGAGTGGAAACCCGAATCCCTCGGTGATAGCATCCCATAACTCAGTGCGCTCTAATTTGAAGCAATGGCCGTAATTATCAGGGCTCTATGGCCTGAACACTTCCCGTCCACTTCCCTCTCCTGCCCGTCTCTGTCAGGAGCCGGCTCTCTGCCAGCGGACCGACAGAGGCCCGGCCAAAGCGGGTCGGCTTCCCCAGCAGCCCCAGGCCTGGAGATGAGGGAGGGGGAGGGGGGGTTCAAACCGCCAGCACTCGTTAGCCACATGAGAAAACCGCACAATTAGGATTCTCAGAGCTGGAGAAAGAAGCCGCCTTTGTCTGCGCCCCTCCGTTTGCTCGCCACTCTGCGAGACAACGCCGATAAGCATCTTGTAATATCCCGGACTGAGCCGTGTCCACTGGCAGGGCCGCGGACAGCAGAGCGACACAAACCCGGGGGCCGTCTGAGTAGAGTTACAGCGCAGATAAAACGGTGTTAACAGCTTCTTTTATCTGCCGGCCAGGCCGCCCTATCGATTACTGCGATCAAAGATCTGACCACCGTTATTCCCCCGGCTCATTGTGAACGCATCCTCTTAAACACAGCCCCCGCCTCTGACCTAACTCCTCTGGACCACATCAGGGACGGAAGGGGGACGATTTTAAGTGTTACGACCCCGGACTTGGATGTAGGCGGAGTTGGATATCCATCCTTGTTCGTGCAGTCTGCAGCCAGACGGATTTTCCATATTAGGGGCCTCTCAAAAAAAAAAAAAAAAAAAAACCCAGCTGCAGCAAAGCTTGTTTATATTGTTTATATTTCAGCATCTTTACTTTATATTCTGGATCTTTACTATATGGTCTATAAGTGCAATAACCCAAGTCAACTACTGTGTAGTCTGTACTTCTACTCTGCTCTTTACTGTACAGTTATTTTATACCTAAAGGAAACTTATACATCTGTACCATAGACACTCTTTTTATATTGTCTGTATTGTCTCTGTATTGTACTCTTCATAAACTAGGAGTAATCCCAAGGAATAAATAAAGTTGAGTCTAAGTCTAAGTCCAAAACATTCCTCCAGTGTGAAAAGCTTCACAGTTAAGCCGTTCCTCATGCAAAAAGTGGGTAAAAACAAACAAACCTGTCATTTTCTGGCTAAAAATGAGACTTTTAAGCCAGTGCTTCCGGCTTGTTTCAGAGCCATCCATCGGTACAGGGAGATGTATGGACTGTTAAAGTCCATTTACAATGAAAAGAGAACAGAGTAAACTTAACATTTCAGAGTTGAAGTGCTCCATTACTGACCCCACTTAAAGTATCTTTAACGAGGTTTATCATCATGATAGGAAACCTTTACTGTCTTATTACCAACTTACAACAACTGAACACATCTGGAAGCTCTATAATTAGTAGGTGGATGAGTAATGATTTAAAGGGTTCATTGTGTTCCAGGCCTGAGATGCTGTTCTTTGATTAAACTATAAAAACAAGCCATGCCCCTTCATGGCTCCAGGTTGATGTCACAGAGAGAACCTTTAAATTTCCTCCTATTAAAGCTGCTGCCGTCATCCTTGAATAAATCTCTTTGTGTCCATATTTACCACTAAATTCGTCCACAAAATATCGGCTTTCAGGGAGCCATGCACTGGGACGGGTCCAGGGGCCGTCTGTGGACCGACACAAAGGTCAGCCTGCCTCATTTGCCGGACGGGAGCGTGTGAATCACGCCGGTGAGGTCACAGCTTCTAAGATGACCACGAAGCATCCTGGACCTCTGACCTTTCCTCTGTGTCACCGTATCTCAGGAAGCCACCGACAACATGAGTAACAGGCAGAAAATCCAAAATGCTGCTTTTTTTAGACAGAGCAGACATGACGGGGGGCTCAGTGTGTGTCAATCCACTAAAGATTTTCAGTCAAAAACTCCTTTAATTGATTACATTTGCTGAACAAATCTCTTTAGAATAAAAGGTTTGTGTCAGTGGAAATGGCCACTTGCATCACACTGCTTCTTTGAGGATGAATTTGAGTCTGGATCTGTCCGAATGGGAGCAGAGTTGTTAGTAATTTGGGTAAACGCTCCTCGGATGGGACCCTTCTAACACTGCTCTGTGTTTATTGTTATCAGGATGACTCCTGGTTGATATCACAGAATGAAACCACTTAACCCTCCATTCAGGCTGACAACCAGAGAGGATTAAAGGGATTAAATGGCTGTAATCCACTCCTTCTAAAGGCTTTCGCCTCCCACAGATGATCTAAAGCAGCATCAGATGTTTCTTTACAATTGAGATGATTGACTCAGAACTTGGAAAATCTATTTAGAAAATAAAATGTAAACAGCAAAAGGAAATAAAATCCCCACGGGTCCTTAGGCTCATGCCTCTGTCTCTGTCTCATCTTTATGACTGACCATTGGCAGGTTTAAGTTGTTCTCTTTGTTCTAATCTTCCAGAAGAAGTTTTAAAGAGAAGAATTCACAGTTTAACAAAACCTTTCAAACCCAACCTGGAGGAAATGGAAACCAATGATAACTCAGGCACAGGGGCCTTTTGTAAACTCTAGATATGACTAAACTCCAAGTCACATGAAAACTCAAAAATACCTTAAAAAATACCTGAATGCAAGTGATTGCTTTACTCTGGAAAAGGACAAAAAAACTGCGCACAACACACTGGATCAAATGTTGATTTCCTGTCCTTTAAAATAAGAATAAAAGGGAGGCAGGAAGAGCGTAAAAAAGGGGGCTGTGCTGGTGCTCTGATGCTTGTTATATTCAATTATACAATACAAAACATATTCTTATTTAAATATTATTTTAAAAAGCCTCCGTCGACACCACCAAAACAGCAGAGCTTTGATATCAGGAACACTAACAACACTTCATAATCGTCCACATAGCCACCACTTCTCTGGATTTGGGATGTGAACACTGGCTTCTGAACTCAGAAAATCTAAATAATATGTTGAGGAACAGCTGGAACAGCTGGAACAGGAGGCCTCCAGATGGTAACCAGCCCACAGTGCATTCAGAGTTGCTGGAGACATTTAGCTTTATAATCAGTGGAGGGTTTATAGTCTTATTTTCCCACTCGTCAAGACACGGGTGAACACCAGATTTGTACACTTTAAGGTGGGAAATGGAACAAAGAGGGGTTTGTAATCAGCATCAAACCTCACCTCGGTGCACAAGTTCTGCTGATAAACGCACAGACATCAATCAGCAATTAAATCTTAAAATCAGCAGCAGAATGAGAGAAGAATCTGCTGCTTTTCACTGACATTTTCAGCCTCTTTAAATCATCATATGCTCAACTTTTGGCTGGATTACTCAGCTTCAACACTCAAAGAACACTGGGCTGATTTCCCTCCATTTCTCTTTCCAGAGAAAGGTTTGTTTTTTGAAAATGAATTGCAGAAGAACACACACACAACAAAACAAGCATCAAACATCCACTGACTCGTTTCTCTAAAATGGACCCACTGACCGGCTGTGGTCTAAACTAGGAAGCGGGCACTCACCCGGGGGGGCAGCTGCAGCCTGCCACACAGGGCTCGTGCACAGGGCAGGTGATGTTGAGCAGGTGGGACTCGCAGGTGCGCTCACAGGCCACGCCCCTCCCTGCCAGGGGGCCGTCCTCCTCCTGTGAGCAGTTCTGGTAGAGCTGGCCTGCTGGACACAGCCCGTCTGCAGGACAGGCCACCGGTCAGCTCAGAAAGGATGACCAACCCAGTCTGACCAGTTTAGGATCTAACAGGGGACCTACCACTGTCTGCAGCCTGGGCCACCAGCTTGCCGTCCAGACACAGCCTACAGGGGCGACACAAACAGGAATTACACACAGAAACGCTGACAAACAACAGCTAATGTTAACCCATGAAGCTGCTACACTTTTTGACTGGTTTTCAAAGTAAAAGCCCACGTTGAAGTCCAAACACAACCAGAAAACCTGAGCACATCACTCCCAAGTCCGTCTGGCTGCAGGAAGCCAAGGACGGATATCCAACTCCCCCACATCCAAGTCGGCCATTTTGATTAGGTCACCAATAGGAAGATCCCAGGCAAGAAAATCCTATTTGATTCATGGCAATATAGACATTAATTTAAAAATAGTTAAATTAATCTTGCAAACACTAAATTAAACTCTATCCATAATATTATGTTAAAATAGTGGATGTTAAATAGGTTTGTACAATAAGTCCAAACAAGTTTAACCAAAAAATATTTATTTCTCACAATTATGAAGGCTGGAGGGTCAGGGTTAGGGTTAGGATTAGGGTCAGGGTCAGGGTCAGGTTTAGGGTAGGGTTATGTTCAGGGTTAGGGTTAGGTTTATGTTTAGGGTCAGGTTTAGGGTCACGGTTAGGGTTAGGGTTAGGGTTATGGTTAGGTTTAGGGTCAGGGTTAGGGTTAGGGTCAGGGTCAGGTTTAGGGTTATGTTCAGGGTCAGGGTTAGGTTTAGGGTCAGGTTTAGGGTTATGTTCAGGGTCAGGGTCAGAGTCAGTGTCAGGTTTAGGGTTAGGGTTAGAGTTAGGTTCAGGGTTAGGGTTAGGTTTATGTTTAGGGTCAGGTTTAGGGTCGCGGTTAGGGTTAGGGTTAGGGTTAGGGTTATGGTTAGGGTAAGGGTCAGGTTCAGGGTTTGGGTCAGGGTTAGGACATTGTTTGTCTTCCCATTTCGTATAGACAGTAAAGTTTGGTTTCCACCTCAGAAAGCTGCTAGTCACATGACCTAATCAAAATGTCCAACTTAGATGTGGGAGGAGTCGGATATCCAGCTGAGGCTCCTACAGGCTGCAGACAGAGGCTGCTCATCACTCCTGTTCTGAGCTCCTCACACTGGCCACCAGTTACCTAAAGAATCGAATTTAAACATCTTTAATAATAAAAGGCCAGAGTGAGTCCCTGGGCTTCTTGTTGAAGATAAACCATCAGAGCTCTGAGATGGTTTAGGTGTCAGACGGCTGGTGGAAGTAAACAGGCGGAAATGCCAGAAATGTGGTGTCTTTTTCCTACTAGTAACCATTTCTAAACCGTTAACTCTCCTTATTACTAATATAGAAAACATCCCGTCAAACCTGAAATTGGGTTTTCATTTGAAGTCAAAGTTTAAAAACGTGAAAGTTAGAAAGTTAGAAAGAAAGAGGAGGATCTTACTGAACTCCTGCTGACGTCATGACCACGTCTCCCGGCTCATAATCTGCTCCCAGGAAACTGCAGGGACACTCGCTCCTGGAGAAACAAACCGGAACACAAACGCTCAGACCCACAATGCCCAGGCAGGAGGAGAAACCCCCCCCTTCAGGATCAGGCTTCAGACCTGTTCCTTTTTGAAAAAGCTGGTATCTGGAGATGGATCAGGGACCCAGAAACATCCCATAGTTCTGAATCCCAAACTATGGATACTAAGAAAAGTATTGATACTAAAATGCTGTATCTGGATACGATACTGATTTTCAAAAGTTTCGATACCCCCCCGACCTGCTACCTAAACAGACCTTCATCTAGGGTGCAGAATAGAGGGAAATGCACTTTCTGAACTTTTTTTGTAACAGGTGTTTTTTTTTTTTTTTTCTAACAGGTTTGGCTAGTGTCTTATGTATGTAAAGTATAGCTAAGGAAGGAACACTTAAGCTAATTTTGTTATTTTTTTATCAAGCTTGCTTAATATTGTGCACAGCATACAACCTCAAAATATTGTTCTTATTGTTTATTGTATTTATCTATTTACCTACTGTATTTTATTTACTAATAAAATATTTCTGTTGAATTAGGGGTCTTGGTTTTTATCCTTGTGGGATCGAAAATGGTATTGAGTGTCCCTGAGTATCCAGTTGAAAATTATGGCATCATGACAGAATTCAGTTCAATTCAATTTCCAGTTTTGGGCCTTCTACATTTCCTACACACTCCACATGAGCAGCAACAGGAGTGCAGCTCTTCACACATAAAGCAGAACATTCAGAGGCCCAACATGAGGTTCTTTTTCTGTGACGTCGTTCCCAGTTTCTCCTCAGGTGTTAGGATCTGTGCAGGTAAGTGTTGGGGAAGGTGTTGGATTGGTGGCAGAAACCTGCAGCTAAACACGTCCAGGACGTCTCACAACACAAAGAAAAGAGGAGAGGGACCTTCTGCCCAGTTAAACTGTGTTAAGCAGCAGCTTAAAAGCCTTTGTAACCTATATGGCGGAGCCTCACATCGGGCTCTGCACTACAAATTCTTTCTCACTGGTTACCTGATCTCTGTGTCGTCCCCGGCCCGAGTGGGAATGAAAGGGGGGTTTCACAGTGGATTCCTGGAGGAAACCCGATCACATGTTAAGTAAGGCACAGGCCTGCGCTAGGATGTAAAACCTGGGACATTTAAGAGGAATTAAGCCCGGAGTCTTCCAGGGCGGAGCAGCCTGAAAGGGAGAGCACAATTACCCGGGCCCGGGGCTCCATAACGCCCACAGAGAAGCTACAAGGCTTTCCACTTAAAGGCTGACCCCGACCCGGGGCAGATCCAGGTATCACTTTGAGGGGATTTGTCTGGTGGAGTGCCTGCAGGCAGTTTAGTAAGCCCCCCCCCCTCCCGCTTAGTCAGCCAAACCCCAAATAGAAGCCGCCTTAAAAAGCAACACATTTCACCACAGAGAGGGGTCAGGACTCAGGGGGGTCAAACTCTGGCCCGCGGGCCAATTTTGGGCCGCGAGACAACACCAAATGACTCCGAGAGCTATTATACTGTACATCAACGGCTCGTACTACAACTCCCATAATGCCCTGCTGCTGTCCAGGACGGGACCCAGAAACTCCTTGCTCTGTGCTGCTTCCCAAAAATGACCCAAAGAAAGGAAACAGGAAACAGGAGCTTTCTGGACAAGCTGATTTAATCCTTTAAAGCCTGATCCAAGAATAAAACAAAACAGAATTATTATTTTTTTGTTTCAATTTCTTAGTTGGCCTTTTAACAAAATATGTAAAAATAAAAAAATATATACATTTTTAATATTAATAATTTATTACTATGCGAGTCAAAATTATTTATTTTCGTAGCCTTCTGCCCCCTGTTATCAGGTGTATCTGATTGTGTTCAATAGGATTTTGAGCAAAGTTTTTACCATTAAATTATGCAAAACGAGTCAGACGCAAAACATTTCATAAACCGTATGAATCAAATATGATACATTTGGCATTACAGGGTTAATTTTGCTATGTAATTCAGAAGGCTGCAAATAGAAAAATGTTTTTAAATTTTATTTTATAAATGAATGCCATTGATGTGTTTTTTATTTGGAATGTGATTGTGCATGTCTCCACTATTAAGTTATATATAATGTAATAAGAGCTGCTGGTTCCATATTCAATGTTAAAGCAAAATTCGTCTTGTTCCATATTAAAAGGTTCATTTGTTCAATCTTGGCACGCGGCTTTGTTCAGGTTTTACATTTTGGCCCCCTGTGTTTTGGAGTTTGGTTTTGAGGTGGTCTCCGCGGGCTCTCACCTGTGCACGCAGGTGTGTGTCCTCTGGCTGTAGAAGGAGCCCTCGGGGCAGACGCAGCCCTCCTCACACTCGTCCCCGCAGCGCGGGGGGGCGGAGAGGGCGGAGCAGCGGCGCCGGCAGGCCGACACGCAGGTGCCGTACTGCATGGTGGCCGGACAGGTCACGGCTGGGGGGGACACAGTTTGACCACAGTTCAACCAGCTTCTGTGCTGCTGGAGGAGGGCAGCAGATGCCCCCTTCTAACTCCAGTCCCCTATACTGGCCTACAAGGTGTTTAAGGGGACGGCTCCTATCTAATTGAATCCTCTTGCAAAAGCTTTGCTTTGGATAAAAACATCAAAATGCAAAAACATAAACATAAAAGTCCAAAAACAGCCTTAAAGCCCCCAGAAACTGTTTTAAAAGCCCCAAAAATTTGCTTTAATCGCCCTCAAAACAGCCTTAAAGTCCCAAAAACTGCTTCAAAAGCCCCAGAAATTGGTTTTAAATGCCTCTAAAGCAGCTGTAAAGCCCTCGAAACAGCTTTAAAGCCCCCCAAAAAAGTTTTAAGGTCCCAAAAACAGATGTAAAAGCCCCCAAAAAACAGTTTTAAAAGACAGGAACAGTCTCAATACTGCGTCCTGAACACTTCCCTTAATCACTTCCTCATATATCACTTTTAATTTCTCTGTTTATTACTTTTTGTTGTATTTTCAAAATGCCGCTATGATTTATCACTGGTCCCTTTAAACAATTGCTCACTAATTGAGTTGCATTGATCTGTTTATTCAAGTGTTAGACAGCGATTTCTCTAAAGCTGAAAATAATCTGCTGAAATGTGTAAAAATGGATGAAAATATGAATTACGAGGCAAAAAAACAGTTTTGTCAAAATCTAACCAGCTTCAATGACAATATTTTGTAAAAGCGCCTGGTGTGGACCCACATGATCAATAGTTAACTCTTAATAAGTAACTAAAGGAAAGAAGGAATTAAAACTTACTTCTTGATGCTGCACTGCTGAATAACAACTCTCCAAAAAGCAAAAAAGAATGGCTAAACATAAACTACTAATCACCCCCCCAACAGGTTTCCAGCAGGTTTCCCATTTCCAGCATAACTCAAATAGAAATCCAGAAAATCGTTTCACCATCGTACAGAAAAAGGACATTTTTCTGTGCATGGATCCGACATTAGTGTTTAAATAAATAAAATCAAGCAGCTTTCCTCCAAAATCAAAGTCAAGAGGAGCTGAGACCGACTCAAATAAATCGGGAAACGGGAGGAGATGGCATCGAAGATTAGAACAAACATATGCTGTCCACTTGAGTGGACATCTGAAAAAAAAACTTTGAATAAACACGTTTTTGACCAAAAATAAGAAAATCAAAATCAGAATAAATTCAATCCAAAAAATTAAATGAAATAAATAAATTAGAATAAATTTAGAAAAAATAAAAAATAAAATAAGATAGATAAATTAGATTAAAAAATAAATTAATAAATACATTTTAAAAAATCTAAAAGAAAGAAAAATACATTTAAAATATTAAAAAAATAAGAAAAAATAAAAAAATCAGAAATTTATAAAAAATAAACAAATAAATAATAAAAATGAGAAATAATGAAAAGAAATACATAAATAATCATACAAAAAAATTTGAATAAATAAATAACATTTCTAACTGAAAATGTTCAAAATCATCCATGAAAAGCTAAAAACTAAACATAATTTCTTCTGATCAGCATCTGTTTGCGCTCCGCTCTCAACATGAGCGCCAATATTTCTTTACAATGTGTGTATATATAGTATATAATATAATATATATAATATAAGACCAGCTCTGGTCAGAGTGTGACTGGACACCCACCGCAGTCGGGCACGTGCGCCCGGAAGTCTACGATGACGGAGAAGCGTCGGCAGTGGCGTGCGTAGTGGGCCAGGGCGGCGCAGAGGCAGGGCGCCCCGCAGCGGCAGGCGTCCGCCCGGCACCGCTGCTGGAAGCCCGCCGGGCTCACGTACTCGTGGCAGGCGGAGAACAGGTCCTGGTTCAGCACGTCGCACATCTCTGAGGCGTAGGCCGCTACACCAGGACACAGAAAACACCCAGAAACACACACAAACCAGCGTTTAATCTTCAGATAACGGACCAAAACCAGAGTTTGTTCTGTTCTAAAAGACCAGATCCAGACCCGAGAGCAGGCTTAAGACTTTCCT